ACAATGCTGCATTCTGTATTTATATCAGAGCTAATAAAGAGTTTGCAAATTTATTTGTGATTTGATTAAGCTGTTTTCTAATGCATGAAACAATTTTTGAGTAATTTTTTTTTATGCTCCGTAACGATTTGTAGAAAAAAATTTGAATATAAAAATATAATTATAGTTTTTGAAAATCTTTAAATAGTAGTCGTATTTTAGATAATTAAAAACGTAATTGATAATTTGAATCTTAAGTTTTTCCTTTTTTTTTTTTGATTACAACAACAACAACAACAAAATGGCAAACGTTCAAGGTAGCATGAATCTGATGAGAATAATTCCTAATAAAATAGTTTTATTGCACTTTAATACACTTTTTCTTCTGAATTGGTATTAAGTTTTTTTGTAGTTTGTCCGAATTTCGATCCCATAAAGCTTTGCATGCTTTATGGGATCGAAATTGAATTTAAAAGCCACTATTTTAATAACATTTTGCCTGCCTTAAATTATTCAGTCCGTGCAAAACCAGTTAAAAAAATAATTTTTTTTTATTAAATTACTTTTATTTTTTATTTAAATTACTTTTACTTACTTTTTTTTATTTAAATTACTTATTTTATAAGACAGAGGGGTGTTTTGCACAATTTTTTATTCTGGTTTTGATCGAAAATTTATTTCTAACTGGTTTTCAAAAAAGCTTTGTGAAGTCAACTTGACTAGTGACAATTTTAATAACCAATATAATTGTGCAAAACGCCCCTCTGCCTTATAAAATAAGTAATTTTAATGCTTGATATGTTTATAGGATTGATGAAGTTAAAACTCAATTGTAACTGTTTAAATATGGCTTTTATAATTTTAGTGAGTTTTATGTATGAGATTTTTTTTCTTAAATAATATCCCCGAGTTTTTTAAAACATTTTTAAAATAGATTGTTGGTTAGATAAAATTTTTGTCTTGTTTTGCATCGACAATAATTATTTTTTTAACTGGTTTTGCACGGATTGAATAATTTAAGGCAGTCAAAATGTTCCCAGTAAGAAAAAGACGTCAAGCCGTAGTTGTAATTTGGTTGTATTTTGGTCGCGATGCAAGTTAACTAAATTCCAACGATGTTCCAACGTCGGCATAACGGTGTTGTTCTAACGTTTGCTATCAAACGTTGGAACAACGTCGGAAAAACGTTATCATCTAAAGTCTTGAATGCTAACATTAAAACGACGTTGGAACAACGTTGGTTGTTTAACGTAAAACCAACGTTAGTCTGATTAACGTTGGAACGACTTTGGAACAATGTTGCTTTTTTTACGTTTTTACTTTTGACATCAAAGCAACGTCAGCTTTCTAACGTAAACTCAACTTGATTTTACGAACTTGCGCATTTTTAAAATGGTTGATAAACCGTTATCGAAAAAGATGTTATTTTTAATCTGGTTTTTAGGCATTATATTCTGTGATACTAATAATTAATACATTATTTATTTATATTCTACATTCGAATTAGATATAAAGTTTTTATCATATTAATGATAAATAAAAGTTACAAAAACTTTATTTGATTTTCAAAAACTGTTGACATTTTTGTTATGTTTTTGTATACTTTGTACCCTCAACCGGGGTGACTTCGGACAGCGGGGTGACTCCGGACAGAGCATTACTTATTATTCTACTTCAGTTTCTTTTAGTGATGGCGCGAAACTACAAACGTAAACTAAACTTAAAAGTGTTGTATGGAACAAGCTCTAAAGAAGATATAAAAAAAGCTATAAAAGATCACAGTAAAGGCATGAGTATTCGAAAAGCTGCTGATAAGCATAAAGTCAAAAAATCAACATTGCATGATCACATTAGAAAACCTACCTTAAAGAAGGTTGGAGGCCAGACAATTATAAGCAAAGCAGATGAGGTACTCATTGCTCAAGTGCTAGAAGCTGTTGCCGATTGGGGCTTTCCTATTGGAAGATTAGAAGTCAGAATGATGGCTTTTGATTTCCTCAAAAGCCATTATTCCATCTCAATCGCCATCAATTGAAACTGTTTGACCCGCAATGGGTCAAACAGTTTCAATTTGCAGATATCTGGAAATGACTGGTTAAATTCTTTTATGAAACGAAACAATATTTCTGGGAGAAATGCTTCAAATATTAAACGATCGAGATCAAAGTTAGGAGTAGAAATGATAAATAATTTTTTTGATGAATTTGAAAGAACTTATGAATCTCTTGGTGGTATTCAACCTTCAAACATATTTAACTTCGATGAGACAAACCTTTCAAATGATCCTGGAAAAAAGTTTGTTTTAGTTCGAAGAGGAAGACGACGAGTGGAAAACGTTCAAGAACATAGTAAAACTTCTATATCTCTTATGTGGTGTGGCTCTGCTTCAGGAGTACTACAACCACCTATGGTAGTTTATAGAGCATCGAACGTTTATAAAGGTTGGGTAACAGGAGGGCCACAGGGAACAATATACAGTTGATATGGAGACATTTGCCAAGTGGTTTGAAAAATGCTTCTTGCCGAACGTTCAGAATTTAAATGGACCCAAGCTTCTTTTAGGAGATAACTTGGCCTCTCATTTTAATCCAGACGTTATTAAACTTGCTAAGGAGCATAATGTTTACTTTGCTATGTTGCCACCAAATGCCACACATTTAATGCAGCCATTAGATGTATCTGTCTTTGGTCCAATGAAGCGTTGTTGGAAACATGTATTATATGAGTGGAGAAAACAAAGCAGAAAAACTGGATGCTTTCCCAAAGAACATTTTCCAGCTCTATTAAAAAGTTTATCACTTAAGTTGCAAGACACAGTGTGTCAGAATTTGGTTTCTGGCTTTATTACATGCGGACTTTATCCAATAAACCGTATAAAGGTTTTAAAAAGAATTCCTGAATACAAGGAACCTGGTACATCAACAGCATCCATTTTAAACGATTCGGTTACAACTTTGCTAATGTATCATCGTGGTGCATGTGAAACAAAAAAACCCAGGGGCAATAAGTTGAACATTGCATCTGGGGCAGTTTTAAATGTCGTTGAAGATATTGAAACTGATCTTTATTTCATCTGTGGAAAAGATGATAATGACGAAAACGATGAAATCAGTGAAGAAGAAGAAGAAATTTTAATTGATTGGACTGGTTGTGAACGTTGTGGTCGTTGGTATCATTCAAAGTGTTTGGAAAATGCCATGTCGACTGATTGCATTGTATGCCCAAAACTATAAATTTTATTAAATTTTTTTAAAAGATAATGATTTGTATATGATTTACTTTTACAGTTGTCAATAATTTAAACAAAATAAGAAAGATTAGTAATTGATTCTTCATAATTAATCATTGTAGTTGTATCATTATTATATGTATATTTGAAATAGTTTATCAATAGTTGTTGTTTTTTGTTTTGTTATTTGAAATAAAAAATTAATTGCTTAATTAAAAATTAAAAAAATTTAATTAAGCAGCTTTTTTACATAGTTATACATTCATTTTAAAACTCTTGATGTTGAAATTTCAACTTTTAAAATCTCAAGCTTCAAGTGTCCGGAGTCACCCCATTTCCCGATTTTGATTTTTTGATTTTTAAACCGTTTTTTTATGCTAATAACATATTGGAAAGCTGAAAGCCAAAATTTCTTCACGTTCTTTATAATTACAGTGGTACGTTCCACAAAAATATTTCCATTTTGTATTGATTTTAATGAAACAGTTTAATATTTTCTTCGAAAATTGTCCGGAGTCACCCCGGTTGACGGTATATTTAACATTACTTATATAGTAAAAATTTCTAACATATATAATATTTGCACATAATATTTTATTTACAAATAGATAATGCAATGATAGGTTTTTTAAATACCCGTTATTAAACTATTTAACAGTTTAATTAAATGCCAATAAAACTACAGAGCCTTTTTTTTATGACATTCAATTCAGTTGTCTAAGACAGTTGTAAGTTGTATTAAAACAAGGTTTTTACTTAATATACATAATATATTAAGTATAAATTTAAGACAATTAAGTTATATTAAGACAATGTCTTAATCATAATATATATTTTATTTATTTGAATGGAAAGTTTTTTATTTTGTTGTGGAACTAGACTAGATATTAATAAGCATCTTATAACTTGTGTAATGTGTTTCTTTTACGAATTTGTATATTGGCATAATCATATCATGCTATTCCTACAATTATATAACTCACACTGACTCTCATAAGTTTGAGTCTCAAGTCACGAAAAAGGGTAAACAATTTTTTATGTATTTGTATTAAATTATTTTTATTATTATTTTTTTATTGTTGTTCACCTCCGGGTTACAACCAGGAACATGGTAAGGATAGAACTCATAACTTCTCACTATGAAGCAAGCGAAAAACATATCCTACAGAAACAGCAACAGAACATCTAAATTTTACACTAGATCTTAGTCATAATAAACAAAATATTTATTTAAATCAATACACACAAAGTGTTAGATGATATACACTCAGTCAGTATTTAATTTTCAAAATGAATCACAATCTCATGTTTCCCTAATTTCAGAGTTGAAAGAAAGAGCTGATTTTGGCCATAAACAGTGCTACAAATAAGGAGGCTCCTTTTTATTTCAATTGTGGTTATAACCCCCTCTCAACTCAATAACTCCTAAGTATTTCAATAAAGTACATGTCAAATATATTTGTGTGTAGTTTTTGTATATGATATGTGATATGATATAGTTTTTAAAATTGATATGTTATACCAAAATACATATACACCCATATATATATATATATATATATATATATATATATATATATATATATATATATATATATATATATATATATATATATATATATATATATATATATATATATATATATATATATATATATATATATATATATATATATATATATATATATAATATATATATATATATATATATATATATATATATATATATATATATATATATATATATATATATATATATATATATATATATATATAATAGTACTATCATTTACTTATTCTCTTATCTTTCTAACCGAAAAACTAATTAATCTTATATTTTAATAAAACTCATGCCAAGTTAAAATATATATTTTTTGAATGTTATTATTTTTCTTCAATTTTTATGTGCAGAGTTAAAGTACTAAGTTATCAAGGTGTTTAAAATCAGAGCAAGTCGACTTAAATATACATAATCACATTATTTAATCTTAAACTTAAACTTAACAATAGAATATTTGAACAAGTTTACACGAAGAATTGGTAACAAAGGTTTTGCTCAACAATTTGTAAGTTTGATTTCAATATGTTTAACATGATTTAGAGAACAACACCTGGACAATATATTTTAACGCCCAGCTTTTGAAACAACAAAAAATTTACAATCACTTTATTAAAATGAATCTAAATCATTTGCTGTTACAAATTATGTCATCCTATTTATTCAGCATATAAATATTTTTAAACATTTTAGATTGGTTGCAGCCTTACAAAGTTGTGAAAAACAATATTGAATAATTCTAATTTTTTAAAATTTTATTTCCGTTACAAAATTTAGTGAATAAAAATGTTTTATATTTATGAGTTTGCCATGATTGCTCTGATTGAATCATGGTAAAATACTTATTCAGTTCTAACTGTTTATTAAATAAGCTTGGGTCTTTAAGGCTTGACCTTGGTGAATACAGTAAAAAATATTTAAATAAGATCTTATGTGTAAAACACTTCAATGTGCCTTTTTTATATTTTTTTCTTTTTTAGGCCAAGTTTTTTAGGCGGAAAGTTACCAAAATATGTTAAGGACTTAATTCAGAGGTAACTTTTGTATTTCTTCATTTATATTTTTATTTGTTTTATGTATATTCACTGAATATACAAATTTTGAATTTCAGAACATTGAAGGTATTATGAATAAATGCAAAGATTTTTTTAATTATTATTTTAATATTATTTTAAATGAGTATACATATTGCATGTGAATATTTATATAACACATTAGCAAACTAATACAAATGGCTATAAAAATGATATCAAAAGAACATTTTGAAGTATTTTTATTATAAAAGTTTATTTCTTAAAAGTTAAAAAATGCTAATTTGAATTATGAAAATTGTCAAAATTTTTATAAAATTTTTGTATTTATAATACTATAAAGTATCCATATATATATATATATATATATATATATATATATATATATATATATATATATATATATATATATATATATATATATATATATATATATATATATATATATATATATATATATATATATATATATATGTATATATATATATATACAGTCGTGGCCAAAAGTTTGGAATCGCCCAATATTTTTCAACAAAAACCATGTTTTTTCTAATTTATTGCATACAAATAAAGATAGTATAGCACCAATTCATATAATACTGCATATTAGACTAGAGTATATAGCACCTACAATGTTGAACAAATCTTACAATATAAAAAGTTGCAAAAATTTAATATTTGGTAGGATAACCGCGGTTCTTTAATACAGCCGCAATTCGACGTGGCATGCTCCAAACAAGTTTCTTGCATAGTTCTGGTGTTATCTCTTTTGTCCAAACTTCCACTAGCTTCTTCTGTAAATCTTCAATATTCTATGGCACCTTTCTTCTCACTTTACGCTTCAGTATGGTCCACAAATTCTCTATGGGGTTAAGATCGGGGCTGTTACCCGGCCAGTCGAGAACGGATACTTTGTTTTTCTTGAAGAAGGCTACATCACCTCGGAAGTGTGGCATGGAGCAATGTCTTGCTGAAATATGGTTGTTCTATGTGACTCCATGCTTGCGAGCAGCTTTTCCTGTAGAATTCTCTGATAAATCTGGGAATTTACTCTCTGCCCCTTGTCAACCTTTCAGTCGCTTTTTTTAGTCTGCCACTTCTCCCACGTGACGAAAATGTTCCACATTGTCGAATTCTACTTAATGTCTTACTAACACAAGATTGTGATACATTTACAATTTTTGCAATATCTCTAGTTGAATTTTTTTGTTGAGCTAATATAAGAATTTGACCTCTAATAACTTCTGATAATTCCTTCTTTTTTCCCATTAAAATGATCAAAAAATGTAATTAAAACTGCTGCTTAGATACCACAAATGGTTTAACTAAATACCAGAACAAAGACAACTAAATAGAATTAATATTTCTGACTAAGGTTCGACAAAAATACAAAAAAATGAAAAGTTCACATGTGATTCTAAACTTTTGGCCACGACTGTATATATATATATATATATATATATATATATATATATATATATATATATATATATATATATATATATATATATATATATATATATATATATATATATATATATATATATATATATATATATATATATATATATATATATATATATATATATATATATATATATATATATTTATATAAATATATATATAAGTTTATATATTTGTGCATACAGATAAACAAATATAAATGTATGATGATATCAAGATCAATTATATTGTGAAAGGCTAAATGTTTGATAAACAGTTTATTAGAAAATGATAATTATTGAAGTTTAATCAGTGATTTTTTCTTTAAGCCTATTCCAATAGTTTTTATATTTTTGAAAGTGATTCTATGTTATATTTTACTAAACTCTCTATAATAAGTGCTCATTTAGTAAACCCTTTGATATTTGTCCTGATTTTTAATTTTTGACCTTGTTCAATGGCTAGTTGAACATTTAGTTGCACATTTTTCATTATATAATTTGCTTGTCTGAATGCAGCAACATGGGCATAGGAAATAAATGTTACTAAAACACCTAATCATGTGAATACTGAAAAATGATTATAATTACATTTATCTTGGTTTTCACATCTAGCCATTGATATTAAAAGTATGCTCCATAATGATCACATGTGTATTAACCAATGATATTTTATATAAACTAGTTGTCTTACTTCAATCTAAAAAGTGAAGCCGCTTTTGTCCTTTTTACAAATGACGGATTAAATTTGTAAACAAATACTATTTAACTATTTTTTTATATATAAAGTAAATATATTTTTATATATGTAATATATTTTAAATCTATATATGTAATCTTTATATGTAAAAGTGTTAAGAGGAAATAAGAGTACTTGTAAAGTAATAATTTATGATTTCTAAATTTATTTTCGATTAAAAAGGGATTAAAATTTAAAATAGAACCTTGATAAGTACTTTTTTATTTATTATAACATGTTTTTGAATTATCTTTAATTTATTGGTTAATTTTGACTCGCATTTTGAACTTTTATTCCACACATTTGCTTCAGCTTTAACACTTTTTACAAATGGCAAATTATATTTTTAAGCAAAAAAAGCGATATCATTTTTTGTTTAATAAAGGAGCGCAAGTTTGACATCTAGTTTATATAATATATCATCTAGTTTATATTATATAGTTTGTTTTGGGATTGTCCGTCAATTATTGATATTTTGAAAAAACGGAGCTAGAGGTATGTGATTTGTCATATGTTCAAATTAATTATATTTCTGAAAAGTCTCATGACTTTTATCATTTATAAAAAATATAATTTGCCATTTGTAAAAAGTGTTAAAGCTGAAGCAAATGTGTGGAATAAAAGAAAGTCTGAAAAACAGAAAGTCTAGATCACCAGGCTTGGTCGGGAAGCGGGAGCGATCGCTCTCGAATACTGACCACGGAAATTATATTTAGTTGCGTAAAACTGGCCAGGTTTTTTAGTCGTTTTGAGAACATTTAAGTTTATGAAGGAAACAAAAAAACTTTGTTTTACGGACATACATGGAAACCTAAAAAAACTGGAATGTTCTTGTGCGAAAGAATAAAAAGAATATTTGCAAACACTAAAAACCCGCCAAATTAATGAACAAACTAATTCTATTGGTTTAAAAAATACGCTGATTAAGCGAAATAAAGTTCTAGAGTATTCTGTTAAATTGTTTTAGAAATTGTATTATTCACGATTTGTTTCGTTTTGAGATTTCTAGCATTGTTTTAATAATATTATATATTATTTGTTTACGAAAATAAATGTTTTAAATATATATTAATTAAATTGTTAAAATTTTAAAAGTTGATTATAAATCATAGATTTTATTAGTATATTCTTATTTTTTATTTTAAAAGAGATTGTATTCTTTATGTAAATGTAATTGTGTGTATTTGTTTTTTATCGTAATGTATCTTTTAAAGCAATTTTCATGATTTAAACAAAGACTTACAAAAATAATTGCGTTTTCAATGAAGTTATAATCGTTAAAGTTAATAAAACTAATTATGTAACAAACATATAATAAGTTTCTGGTTACTAAACACAAACAACGCATACAAAGTAACTCGCGGATGAACAAGCATCGCGCCTGAGGTCACGACAGAACACAAATATATAATAGCAAATAATTAGATATAAAGAAAAGTTTCTAGATATTGGTTTACTAACTCTAATTATTTTCGCTTAAGTTGCCATTCTTAAAACTCGTTTTACTTTTTTCTGCTTTAAATACTAATTAAAATTAGAAAGCCCACTCACTAAACATCATCAGCGATATTGTGAAGCAGTTTCGCTTCCTGGCCATTAAGTATTTTTAACCTTTTTAGTTGATTTCTATCTTGATAATTTAATTCCTATAGTAATTCAATGATTTAATTATTTCATTTGTTTATCTAACTAAGAAGAATCGCTTCAAATATGTTGAACTTTTCAAACTACGCGAAACATAAAATAGGTATTAAAAAAATTAACTTTTTTATTTATAAAATAATTTAGCTTAAGTAAAACTAAAACTTGCAAACTTAGTTAAATAAAGAATATTTGTTTCTCTTTTAAACAATCGTAAGTTGTTACTTTATATAAAAAACATCGCTTAATTTTATAAAAAAAATTGTAAAAGAGCGATGTTTCGAAAATATTTGTTCTAAATGCAATTTATTTAGCTTTAAGTTTTTTCGCGTTTAAAGATATTTTATTTGCCTAATTTTTTTTTTATATGTAATTGTCTCTCATCGGTCCAATTAATCTTTTTCGCTTTTTTTTTGCTTTTAAAAATGTTCTAAAAACTCTGGCCAGCTTTTCGCAACTAAATATTATTTACGTGGTCAGCAATCGAGAGCGATCGCTCCCGCTTCCCGACCAAGCCTGGATCACAGGCGGAGTTTTAAAAAATAAAAGGCTATACAATTAATTTCTTTTGTATACTGGTCTCTATGCACTGAAGATACAAATTAAATTAGCAGAATCAATGCATTGGTTATGCATTGATGCTATTAAATTGGTTTGGATGACTGGATTATTAAGGCTGTGGATTATTATGGTCCAACATTCATAACATACAATTTACATAACCTTATTCATTTTTTATAGTTTTCTGAATGATTGCTTCTTGATATGTCTGCCTTTTTATTTAAAAAATTATTGGCTTTTGGTAAGAAGATGCCACTTGCTCAAATGGTCAAGGGTTTAAGTGAAATGTAAGTAGTTCGGATTGGAAGAAAAACACCTAACAAAGTAATCATTATCATTGATTCTTTGCTTAGTGAAAATGTACCATTTCAGTTTCTTTATTTACCATGCAATTCATGTTATAAAAAAAATATATGGCCAAAATAACACATGTTAAAAAATAACTTTCCAGAAATCTGAACTCAAAGATATTTTATATATTTTGAGGGTAAAACTAGACATATTTTTTTTCCATTATTTCATGATTGTGTGTTTTAAATTAATTTTGTTCATTTATTCAATTAAAATTATTTTGGAGGTAATTTCATTAGTTTTGTATTTTATTGAGGTATTGTTTATTCTATTTCAGATAATGTTGCTAAACGATTTGCAGTCGATAATCTTTCGAAAGCAGAAAAACTCAAGTTAGCATCAAATAGAAAGATATCGCAATTTCTGGTATTTGTGGTATTTCTATTTGTTTATTCCGAATGTTTTTTATTTAGTTCTTAAAAATGCTTTTAATTGGTTTGTAACTTTATGTTTCTTCATATATATTTGTCTTTTAGTGTCAAACAAAGAATACGCGAATTATTTGAGATATGATTGAAATTTGCAAAGAAAGTAAAAATCAAACTAGTTTCATTCTAAGTTATTGTATATAATTTTAAAATTTTGGAATAGAAGTGATGCAATTTTTATTTATTTTTAGTCTTTTAATTTCCGTATTCAATTATTTGCCCGGACTAGTATAATAATCGTGTATGACCTAAATAAATAAGAAGAAATATAGCTTGACAGCGCAAAGTTATACTGTGTAAAATTGTCCTTTATTGTTTTTTGCAGTGTAGAAATAACATCAAAAATGATAGAAAAACGTTGGAGGGCGTTTTTCTTACAACGTTTCGCAACATTGTTAATATAACGTTGACCTATGTTTCATATATGCCATTATTCCAACGTGTAAAAAACGATAGAAAAGACGTTGGCTCAACGTCATTTTAGCTAAAATATAACGTTAGCCTAACGTCCTTATAACGTCTTTTTTCTTCAAATTTAACTTTGCTCTAACGTCTTTCCGACGTCATTTAGCTAAAATGTAACGTTGTCACCTTGTCATTTTACATCGTTGTAATAACGTTAGTAAAATGACGTTTTTTCGGTGTTTTATTTATAACATCATGCCAACGTCTTTCCAACGATACGAAAGACGTTAGAACAACGTTGTTCAGACGTCATTTTTTTTATTGGGTTATTAAAATAGTGGCTTTTAAATTCAATTTTTAATTGTAAAGATGTAGGACTATTAGTACTACAAAAAAACATTGCTAAGTCTTTATTTTTTTAAAGTTAATTATCTGGTTTTGCAAGTCGACTCCTCAATTAGAAAAGCAAGTAGAATATTTCTTCTTTCTATGTTATACCATAACATAGAAAGAAGAAATATATCATAACATAAAAAAAACTTTAAGATTGTTTGTTACATTGCGAACTAATGTAGCTGCGTCTGAAAAAAGTTTTAGCAAATTGAAATTAATCAAAAACTATTTATGAATGACATCTGAGCAAGAACAGACATCTGTACTAGCACTTTTGTCTATTGAAATTGAATTGACAAAAACAATAGAATTTGATAATTTAATTAAAAAATTTGCCAATATTAAGGCAAGGAAAGTTATTTATTTATGTTTTTTATGGTAGTATAGATAACTAATGTTCTTCGAGTAATATTTTATATAAAAAAATATTAATAGCAATAAAAACTTTTTTGAAATTAGATATAATTTTTCCTGTATTTGTTTCCTTCTTTTTTTGGTCATGCACGTTTCCAAAAAATTTCAACTCTGGCGTAAAAGGGCGCCAGAGCATGTATTTTCCAAGGGCGCCAAAATCCTAAATACGCCTCTGAGTATTTGTGGGCTGACCCCTTCAAATATAAACAATTAAAATGCTGTTTTATATAAGTTATAGAATTCAATTAGGAAAAAGACAAGTTAGGGGATAGGATGATAAAGAAATTGTTATAAAAAAAAAAGATTGTTGTTCAACAAAAGACGAAGGATCACTTAGGTTTAATTGTAGATATACAAAAATATTGAAGATATACGAAAAAGAAGAGGTTCAGGTACAACAAATGATGAAAACACGGCATGAAAATCATTCTAAAACTATTAGGTTTAAACATTTTTAATAACTTATGCTTTGAATCTAGAAAAAACAGTCTATAGTTCAAAACAACAAAAACATGTTTTTGTTGTTTTGAACTTTGTTTAAATTATTCGAAACTTAATCTATATTTTTTTTGGTAATAGGCATGTAAAATGTTTAAATGGGCTAAGATCTCTTCAATATTACCCCTTTGTCCTAAATATGACCCCTAGCACTTTTTTGGATTAAAAAAAACACTTTTCTATTGTTGCAAGATTAATACTCTTGAATAAAAAAGGTTTCATTTGAGTAAAAACTTGCGGTCTCTTTTGAGTGACACGATAAAAACTTGCGGTCTCTTTTGAGTGACACGATAAAAACTTGCGGTCTCTTTAGCCGCAATTTTATTATAATACATAAATTATGCATCAAAGTAAAAGATTTTGACGCTTTATTCAGGGCCGGGTTAAGTACTTTTTGGCCTCCCAGCACTTTAGGTCTTCTGGCCTCCTAGTAATCAAATTTAACAGCGGTTTAAAATAAAAAAATCTAAGTAATTGTTGCGCTTTGACTTTATAATGTATTTTTTTTTGTATTTAAACAAGCATCTCGTGTTATTTATTATTAAAAACACGCTGAGAATAGTATAGGTTTTAAAACACCTTTCGTTTTGATTTTAAGCTTGCAAATGCAAAAATAATATCTTCAAGGTTTACGGAATTCAATACCCGGTTTTCAATTTAAGCAATAGAATCTGAAAGACGTTCCTGACCTATTAAATAATGAATTGGAAAATATACGAGTCTGCTATTAATTAAGATTGTTATTGTTCAAGAGATATTTAATAAAGAGTTCTTTATATTATAAGTATTTTTTATGTTGTATATGTACCTGTAATTGTACAATGAACACTTTTGATCCTTTTCAATATTGAAAATGAACGTTCTCCAGAATAATATGTTGCAGCGGTTGTCAAGAAGATTTGAAGGTCTACGTCAATATTAAAGAAGGTTGATTCAAGATTCTTATATCTAATAAGTTTTAAAAGATCCAGAGCTGAAGGTTTTTTTTTGCCGTTTTCATCATTTATCTCTGTCAGAATAAAAGCTTCAAAATGAAGACATTCGTTCAAAGAGTGAGAGTTGAGATCATTAGGATATCGATCAACAAGTTTTTATGCACAGCAAGTAATCTTCGAGATATCCATGTTACGAAGATTGACAAGAAAACCAAACAGAGAATTTAATACAGAATAAGCTTTCTTTCTTTTATCAGATTACTCATTAGTTTGTCCGTGGTCTCATTAACGTCGAGAATCATTTTAGATTGCTCAGAAAACACTATAGTTTCCGCACTGTTAATTTCATAGTAATGCCTCTTGCGTGCTCTTAGGTGTTTTTGTTCGTTGGCATATTCATCTGTGTTGACAATAGACACGACTTTCTTTTCATATTGTTTGAAATCGGAGCGAACTTGCTGCACGTAATGCTTCAAGGAGTTGTACAGTTCTCCAACCATACCTAAATCACGCTTGACGGACTGCAGTTTCTTGTTAACTTCGTTGAACATCTTCATGATTCTATTCCAAATGATTATTAAAATAGCTGTCTCAAGTTGTTCCATTTTAATCAAAAGTCCGTAGGCCTCTGCTCTTGTTTTTGCTTTCTTAGTAGGATGGTCGTTAAGTTCAAGAAGTGGCCCCTATATAGAAAATATTTGTTAACAGCTATCACAATCACAAATAAGATACGTTTTCATAAATAACTATTAATCACCTTGTAAATAGAATAACCATTTTTAATGGCTAAACAAGCATCAGCACAAGCTGATCAATGAGTTTGTGAGAGAGTCTTGGGATCCTTAACACGTGTTCCACTAGGTAACTTTGAATTTAAGACATCCTATCGATGCGTTGATGCAGAAATGAAGAAAGCTAAAGAAATTAACTGCAGCTCCGTTGAATTCCGCGGCACTCAATCCTACGAGGCTCAAAGAGTGAGAAGCAAATATAATTTATTTGGCAAGAACGTTGATTTCTTTAATTTTTGCTTGTAAACCAAAGTAGATTCAAGACATGCTACTGGCACTGTCGTATTACTGGCCACGGTAATTTGAATATTGATCCCATACATTAACAATTTTTTCAAAACAATTTCAAGCATGAAAACTGCAAAAGGATTATGCATGAAATGAATTCTAAGAACTGCTCTACTGGTTTTCCGTTTTGTAAAACATAACGCAGAATAAAGCAAAGTTTGTCAATGTGCGGCACATCAGGAATAGAATCAACAATGATTAAGAAATATTTTGATAATTTGATTTCACTAACTAAGAAATTATGTTTGAAGTAAATAAAAAATGTATACTACAACATGTTACTTAAGGATGATCATATTACCTACAAATTCCAAAACCTTGGCGGCTATCAAGTGTTTCGCAAATGTTTTTAGATAAGTATGAGGTACTTCCCTTTCTTTGTTTCCATGAGATATCAAGTGTTGGGCGAGGAAAATATTAAATTTTGCAAATAGCTCAATACATCCGATAAAGTTTACGTTGCTTATCGATCCTTGTTTTTTGTCTGATCCGCGGAATGATAATCCTCTGAGAACGAACAATAAATAAAATATCCAACAAATTTAAGCAGCATTATTACGTGATAAGTGATATCACGTGATAAGTGTGATTCAATTAAAGTATTTATAACTATCAAATTAAATTTATGCATTTAAATCTTCTATATATTACACACATACCTAGAAGAGAGATGCTTGATAACTTCGATTATTCTTTGTAGAACTTGGGTCCAAAACTCTTTTTCTGTTTGGCATTGCTTGGTGAGCTCTAAATCTATCCTTCCCTTGACTGCTTCACTTTGAGATAAGAATGCAGCAACCAAATGAAAGTGCTCTGTGGTCTGTTCACAAAAGGAAGATTTTGGCATGTTGCCAGTTCTGGAATCCACTTTTTCACATAAGCTGCTTTTCGATTTTCCAAAAAAATAGCAAGATACACAGTACATGCTCCCGTTTTCTTTTAAAAACCGAAGCCAATCGCGTAATACTTTTCTTCCTTCTTTATTTTCCGTTCTAAAGAACAGATCTAAATGAGCTCGACGAGGTCTGCCTCCAGAATCACGGTACTCTGAGAATGAGAAGTTTTTTTTTTAATTTTGTTATTTTAGGTACCCCAAGAAGACCTAACGTCTTGTCACAGAGCACCGCGGATGTGCACTTAACTAAAAAGTTCATGCCTCCTTCCTTACCGTGACGCCAAAATATGTCCAGAGCTCGTTTCGAAACTGGATCTTCTGCTTATAAAGCACGGCCGCACGAGACACAAAGTCAATTTTTCTCACGGTACCAATTAGCAGGATCGTTCAAACAATTATTGCTTTTATTATTATTTGATTTAGGCTCAGCGTAGTAATCACGAGGGTCGTTTGAACTATGTAGAGAACCAACGCGCTCTTGCGTCTGCACTTCCTGTGATTCGTGGACCAAAGTGTTGACATTTTTATTTTGAGTTTTTTTGAGATATTTATAACGCAGTGTCTTTGTAGAGTGCAATGCGCTTTACGTAGCCAAAAGCTGCTCAGAGCGTAATATTGTACACGCATGCGCAAGTATTTTATAATAAGAGTGCGATTTATATTTCACAATAAAGCTGGTTGGATCAGTTAAATTTAATAAAGCTAGTTGGCAGTTGAATCGAAATCGAAAATTATTTACTAAAGAAACATTTTGAGCAATTTTTAAAGTAAATGTTTTATATTAGAACATTCTGTTTCCATCAAAATACAACGACAGCATTTATTTGGGGAGTCATTAATTTCATCAGTTTAATGCAGCGTTTATTTGATTGAAATGACATGTTTAATTGATTGAAATTTTAATAAATACTAAAATTTGAAAATATTGAAATCACCTGTTTGCAATAAAATAATAATCTATAGCTAACATTACAAAATTATCTTTTTAAAAAAGACTTAGACTAGACATATTAGTACTTTTCTTTGCAAATATCCTAAAAATATCACAAGTAGAAAAAAATAAAGATAATTTTAAAAAGTTCCATAAATTTTCCATACATTTCAATGGAAATTTAGGAATTCCATGACCAAATAAAAATCAATGACATTTCCATGAATCTATGACCAGTGGCCACCCTGTTTTTAACAAGAACATTGTAAAGTATTTGTTCATTGATAAAATATATTTACAATATAGGTATGTTATAGTTAAGATTGCAAGCATTTATGTAAGTAAAATATACCCTGAATTTCTTTTCCCTATTCCTTTGCTTGAATTGAATCCACCATGTGTGCAAATTAAATTATAGTACACGTATTTAAACATTTCAGGATAAGGTCTTTGGTCGAGCTTGATCTTAGCATCAGCTGTTACCGTTAGCTTGCAACCATGTTTAACCATGGGTTGGAATGTTTTATTACAGTGTATTTCAACTGCTTGAAAAAATTCATCCCAGGATAAGAAAGTATCATGAACTTTTAGCGACATTATTTTGAACGAAAAGAAAAATTATCGCAAAATAAAAGCAAATCACATCAAAATTGTACAAAACATCAACAAGATTTAGAATATGCGTACAAAGTAATGCGCTCCGAGCAGCATATGGCTGCTTAGAGCGCATTGCGCTTCAAGTAGCAACGGCCTATTTATAATGAATGTCTCGTTAATAAAAAAACAAACTAATAATAGTATTATAAACAGGATTTTAAGTTTTATAATTAAATTTAAAAGTTATATAAAAAACAAACAGTTTTAACAAATAAAAGTCGTGAAATATATACATATATTTTTATTTTCAGTAACAATCTATAAATAAATATTTATACATTATTACTGAAAATAAAAATAACGTCGACTAACACTCACAAATATCTTATGATTGGATACGCTTGACTAACAAATACCCGCCGAGAGAGGGGGGGGGGGTAAAGACAGTTTCTCCCAATCGGCATATATCTAAGGGGCGCCAAATGAAAAGAAAGTACCAACAAAAAAGGTCCTTTATCTAAAATATTGGGGAAATTTTGATTAATAGGGCGCCAATCAGACTTGCTGCACAAGGCGGCGTGACGGC